TGTGTGTGTGTGTGTGTGTGTGTGTGTGTGTGTGTGTGTGTGTGTGTTGTAGTGTATCTGTGTTAAATGAGCGCACACCCTGCACTGCTCCAGCGGTGGACCTTGTTTCAACCCATTACAGGCTGTAGAGACAACTCTGAGGTCAAAGGTTGCAGCACCTCAATAACAGCGAGGAAGCAGATGAACGCTGTAATCTCAGCCGTCCTAATTAAAAAGGTGGAGGTTAAAAGGTAGATGGGGTAAAACTAACCTGCTATGACTCAGACTGAGGAAGTTTTCCTAAGACTGAGATACAAAACAAACCTGTCATGAGTCTTTAATGTATTTAAAGGATGTTTTTATGAAAGTGCAGACACAGCACACAGACACAGGCAATTTTGTAGACATTCATTCATTAGTCTCGTGAGTACCGTATGTAGCCTTGTTATAGTCCAGTGGTTTGGATACACATGTTGCTGCCTTGTAGCATTTCCATTTCTACTGAATATGATAGCTCTAATCTTCATGGCCTTGTAAAGTTCCCATACAGTAAATCCTTAAATATACTGAAATGCATGCCGCTAGCCCCGCTGTGTGCCACAGCGTCTCTTTTGGTCCCACCGATAAAACATCTCATGGTCTAAGTCCTACACATAAACACATCAGCTGGGACTTGGCAGAGGCTGTCAAGAGATCCACACGGACACTCCTCTTTACTCATAATGCAGTTATTACTATTATAATATAGATATCGTATAATATATAAGACAATACTAAAATATTCTTCTTTATTTTTACGTGTCTTTATTTTTAATTGAGTATTTGAGCGGTGTATGATATTTTGATTGCTTTACTTTTTAATGTAGTCCTACTGTAGGCTAAGTTTGCAATGTGCAGTGGCATGTAGTATGTAAAAAATGTGTTACAAATGTAATAGTAAAAAGTTTGGGTTGGAATTACCAGAAACAATCAATATTAGTAGGATTGGAGGCAGAAACAGGTGATTATGAAATCTGTGTTCTGGTCTTTTTTTAGTTTTAGCCTCATCCGTGCTTCTCCAAATTTGAAGCTAGTTACACTTCAATGCTTGGACACGTGTGTGTGTGTGTGTGTGTGTGTGTGTGTGTGTGTGTGTGTGAGTGTGAGTGTGAGTGTGTGTGTGTGTGTGAGTGAGTGAGTGAGTGAGTGAGTGAGTGAGTGAGTGAGTGGCACTGGCACCGTGTGTAGATGTGTGCGTGTTGAGGAAGACCCGCGTGAGCTGCGAGCCCATCGCAGACAAACGGACGGTCTTCTACCTCATCGGCAGCATCAACGTCGACAAACCTCGAGCGCCGCGTCTGCTCCCCTCCTCTTCAAAACAACCAAAACAAAACGCGTCCGACACTAAAAAGCAGCCACCAGCAATTATCCAGTCATTTGGCCCTAAGCTCTCACATGCTGAATGAATTTATCCTCCCTGTTCTCCCTGTGGTGGAAAATAGTGATGTTAATTCATATGCCATGGGATTGGTAGCCACACAAAGACCAAAGACCAAGTGCTTCCACCTTGGGCGATTCTGTGAGTGATTATGTCTACTGCTGCTTGTGGGGGACCAGCGGCCACTGTTTGTGAGAACCGCATTGCTCCGTTCCAGGGGAATCCTGCTCTGGCCCTATTCACACTGTTGGAAATGTGTTTCGTTTGATATGAGTTCAAAGAGATTCTAAAGTTGCAGGTCTCGCTTTAAGTCCGGGTTCAGTGTGCTACCTGTGAGTTGGGTGGATCAAAGTTCTGCTCAAGATTTCAAAGCCCAACTCTCCTAAAGAGACAGGTTTTTGCAAGTGCATTAGGACCTTTAGTGTGACGTGTCTCTGCAGTCTGTCTCTCTGGATACATTATTTCTTGTCACATGGAATAACGTGTTATTTTGGATATTTGATTGAAATTCACTCCAACGTTTGCTCCCTTTTTTACGCCATGTTTAGGTTATATGCATACATGGACTGTTGTGAGAGTGCATACACCTAGATTTACTGTGTTTCTGTTGCTTTGTGTGTGTCCAGGAATTGTGCATGCATGCACGGTTGTGTTGTGTAAGTATGCGTGTGATTGGAGGAGATTGAGATTTGCATGGGCTGAAATGCAAACACACTCCTGAGAGAAATCCATGGTCCAGTGCTACTGCTGTCCTGGTCCCGGGACCTTTGCTCAAAATACATCAATACAGCAGCTGTTGTGGTATTACTGGGAAATGCTACTTATGGACAGGGAATATCCCATACTGGTAAAGGCTGGAGCTTTCTCCTGTTCTGGAGACCTGCTGTACCATGCATGACTGAGTTCTGTGATTCTACAGTTTTACTGTACAAGGCCCTGGAGCTAATCGAATGGCTAATGTAACCAAGTGCTGGTAGTAGCCTTGTAATAGGCTTGCTGTGTTTCCTTGCCATGGTGGAAGTGAGATCCTTGTACCACCATGTTTAAGTTCCTGGCATTTTGTATTTTATAGATTAAAGATCAAAATAATTGTGTGAAGTATACTCAACACTTTAAAGGTGTTATGTCCCACGGTAGCTACTATATGTGTTCTCTTTGCTACATTGCTAACGTACTAATTACATTCCAGGGTAACACAGCAGGACCAGCTTACAGTACATTTATTGTCTGATGGACTTGTCAGTCTTCCTCTCCATGGCTAAGAACTGGACTGGCTGATAGCTGCTAATACTTTCCATATACAGGAGAAATGGTGAGCACGGACAGTATAGTGTTTCTTTCCTGTATTGCACAGAAGAGAGTACTTTGCCTGTTCTGAGATCACATAAAGGAGCTGGTTTTTCCAGTCATTTTATGGTTGAACAGTTTTAAGTGGGCTCCTTCCCTGTGGGCCGCAGCACAGGTGCTGGCTGTGTCAATTGTTTACAGAAGTTCAGAGCGGCGCGATGGCTCGCAGAGAGACGGATTGGGGGCCCCGGACTCCGGTGCGAGGCAAGAAGAGGTAAAGCAAGTGTAAGAGAGTGCAAAGAGAGAGCGAGACACTCTGACACGGGTAAATTAGATCCAGAGAGGGAAATAGCAGGAGGTAAAGTGACTGTTTTACTGCCCAGGCTGCAGGTGCGACGGCAGCTTACCGAATGACCCCAGAACCGCAAGGCACACACACACACGGCCACATTCATGCACGCAAGAAAAGCAGCCAGGCACACACCCGGGCTCCGACAAGCACACGCATGCATGCAGGGCCACGCACAAATGTCACAAACACACATTGCGTTGATGAGTCGAGTTTATATTATGTCATCCTCTCTTCCTGCTACTCTGTTTGGTCAAGGCAGCAAACTCATGAGAATTTTTGTCAATTGGATTATGCTACTGCGTGGACGGGCCTGTGTACAAGTGGCAGAACAGTTCACCAATTCATATAAATATTTTCATCAACAGCACCATTTAGTTCTGCCCAATTATGGGTTCTGTTTTTCTGGGCCAGGCGTGTAGATACAGGAAGACAAACATTTGGTTTGGAAAATAAGGGGAAAACATTAAAGGTTTATATGTTTTAACTTGTAGCGACTGTGTTTAACAGTACATGAGAGGAATGAATAATGCCATTGGTCCAGTGGTTAGGAGGATTTACTGCTGTATATTTTCCTATTTTATGGTTGAAACTCCCCCGTCTGTAATATTTTGAGTTCTTTCTTACTTGGTTGAGTAATGACCTTAGCATGTATGTTTTTCCTGCGAAGCTTCTGTTTCTGGGCGTCACTGTGGCCATTAGGAGGTACCGGTAACACTGCAGGATGGCTCCCCCAGCCCTGCTGAAACCCAATCTTTCTCTCTCCCGCCTGCTGCATCCCTCCGCCTCTCCACCACACAAAGCCACCGGCCCCCACATTTCCCCCCCACCAATAAACAATCTATTTCTATATTCCTGTTTCTTTCCATTTGTACAAAATAGAATTCTCAAGCCTTTGCTCTCCATCACCACAAACTTTCAAAGTGCCTGTCTCATTCTATTCATATCCCGTAATGCATTCAAAGTTTGAATGTAAGTGATGACATAAACTGCAGCCATCACACTATAAAGTGTGTTTTCACACACTTTGTTGTTTTTTTTTTTCTTTCTTCCCAAGACCATAGTTCCACTGTGCCCTCAATAACTCTTGTCTTGTATAAATATGTCTAAAGTTCTGTGTTTTGTACGTGTGAAGGCATGTGTATGCTAATCCAATGAATCTCATGTACGTTGAATTGAACGCGCCGCCGCCTCGGTGGTTTTAAGGGGCTTGGGAGGGATACGTTTAAGGCACTGTGTGCATAGTTTTGGGTTAAACGGGACTTTTGCATCTGAGTGGAGAGCTCTTCAGAGATTCATAAATCCACCCAGGATTGTGGCGCTGCTCAGGCATGGCGAGGAGTAAAAATGTTTTCTTATGGATATTTAGCTTCTTTTTACTTTACATGTCTGAAGGAATAGAAAAATAACACGTCAGGCCCTCATCTTATTTACGAGCCAATGAGGATGGCAGGGGTCAGTGGTATTGAGCCCAGACCTTTAGGGAATGTGGGTCTGGACTTTACTTTTTTAAGTTGTCTCGCTATTTTAGTAGACTTATGCTAATATAGCTACTATGTGTCTGAGCTATTTGTAATTTGGTATGCTTTTTGTGCATCTTTTTGTGCAGTTTAAGATGTTCCTCATGTGTTTGTTTATGTGTTCTTCAGGTTATGTGCAGAGTCTGATCCGGCGCGTGGTGAACAACGTGAACATCGTGGTGAACAACCTGATCCTCAAGTACGTGGAGGACGACATCGTGCTGTCGGTCAACATCACCTCTGCGGAGTGCTACAGCGTGGATGATATGTGGGAGAGGGCCTTCACGGACATCACTGGTGAGCAACGGCTGCTTACATTCCCTGATAGTGGGATTAACTAGTAAATCCACTGAGACAAGAACCTATATACGACAGTAAGTGTTTCATGTTGTTAGTTCAGACTAAGGTCGAACTGACGGATCAGACAAGTTTAAACATTCATGGGTCTGTGCGTAAATGGCCAGAGTCTGCTGCCAGAGTAGTCGGTCTCCCCGGTCTGATTGGAACATGTGCAGGTCCAGTGCAGAGTGGGCTGTGAAACAGAATAGAGCTCACATTTAAAACCATAATAGATGAGCGAGGTGGGGGATGTTAAACCTCAGCATGCCATATGGAAATAGAACAGTAAGAAGTATAATCCTTGCGGGGCCTTGCTTTTGATGGCTCCATGGTTAATGTGTTATGTTTTTAATTCTTCGAGGTAGAGATACTAATTACTTCTTCTCCCTATGCCAATAACAATCCCTATCAGTTGCATATTATTTCTCATAACTGGACAATGATTTGTGGATCCAGCCATTCCCTCCAGTAGTGTTAGCTGCAGACATTTAACATGGAGAGCCACAGACTCCACTGAACTCTTTGATTCGTCACATTGTTGTGTTCTGTATGAAGTGCCTAAGCTTTCCTTTGAAATCCAGTTGTTCTTTAACTATGCAGAGCTAACAGGGCGCTTTAGGTCACACAAGCCTGGCATCTTAGGCTTTTCCTGAAACTTGATGTTAATGTTCCACAACGACGATCAACTTTTCAAATCTTCAAAGGCTGTGTTTCTTCACTGCGACTGTACTGTAGGCCTATTTCCCTTCTCTGTAAAGGGTGTATTGTGTTTGGAAGCCATGGCGTAGCTCAGACTCCGTGGTTTCTCAGGTTACTGTCAGAGAATTACAATTATTTCAAACTTGAACTACCGGAAAGAGCTGCTTCTTCACAGGGAGTCGCAAAAGCCTACATCAACAGAGAAATCACGGAGTGGTCATTTTCTGTCACTGTTATCACTGTGGAATTTCTTGTTAAGGGGGGCCCCATTCCAACATGTAAGGCAAGTAGTGGTTACAACAGTAGTTACTGGCACTGTGCAGAGAATGAAATATTTCTGGGAATGATGAGTGGTGTTATCAGGCTGCCAGGCGTGAGTGAGTCAGTGACAATTGAGTAGCTGATGACGCATGCACACAAAAGCACAAACCACTTGGTTGTACAACAGTTGCATAACACAACAGCTCTGTGAGGTCTGCTGAGTGTCATCTCCACTGCTTCCCTAGATCACAGACACTGAGGATTTACTGTCACAGCATGCTCTCTGTTTGTATTAGTTTGTGTTTGATGATACCTCTGTGCACGTACATGTCTAATGCATGTACGTTGACATGTTTGATTAGTGTCAACCTGTTTTCAATGCAGACTTATATGCGGTAATTTTGTCTGTTTTTTTTCCTCTGTGAAGCTCCAGAGCTGGTCCTAAGGAAAGTGATCAACTTTGCAGACTGTACCGTGTGCTTAGACAAGCGGAATGCCAGTGGCAAGATCGAGTTTTACCAGGACCCGCTGCTGTACAAGTGCTCCTTCAGAACGCGTCTGCATTTCACCTACGACAACATCAATTCCAAGATCCCATCCGTCATCAAAGTGAGCGGCAGTAACATAAGTCATTATCTTCCCAGAGCCCAAGATCCAGAACAAAATGGTTTTGTGTGGGTCGATCTGATGTCTTTTTGGTATCGTCCAAACATGTCACACATTCTAGTGATGGAAAAGTTAAGCTCACAGTTGTTAAGAGGAACAATAGGCCTACTTCTGTTAGGTTAGCTGCTCTCAAGTCAATAGCAGGATAGTGACTAAGTTCAGTCCATTGTTATGGATACGTATGGAAGACAGCTGTTTGTTTTTGCAAGAGTTTACTTCCTGTAAATACTGATGTCACTGTAGTACCATCAGTATTTGGGTTTGACTAGAGTGACTTTTTAAATTTTGGTCTGCTTATCTGAAAAATGGCACTTTGTTTCAGTCTGTTTGGTTTGCAACAAAGCAGCCCTTGGGAAGAAAATGCTTTTCCTATCTTGGCCAAGTTGATCAATGTTCAAGAACTAGTCAACCATGTTGACGTAATTGAGAACACCCAGTCTAGATAACGATCTCATGTCATGAAGCACCGCTGATGTTTAGAATATCTGTAATTAGCTTAATTTCAATCTATGTAAACTATTTCTGATGGAAAAAGTAATCTTCGGCGGATGCATTTTAACCTCTTAAACCGGAGGTTAAAATCCGGACATTTATGATCTTTTGCACAGTCTCGCCTGAACATTTACTGCAATTTACTGTCTTTCTTCATGTTTGTTCATCTTTCCACTATAATGCTACATCATGGTACATTTAATTCGCTCCCATATATCTGTTTTGACTCATTCTGTACATGTAGTCAGTACAGTAATCAGCTTTGTGGTTTTCATGGTGTCCTGTCAACAGAACCACACATCTAGAGTAGTTGTTTTACAGCATGTTAAGCAATAGCATTGGTAAGTCCACTTTTGACTGTATTCCACTGTTATTAAAATGTATAAAGACTGTATAGTACAAAATGTATAATACAAACCCCTAAAGTTTTCCAGTAAAAACACACATTTCATCTATCATGTTTCCATTTGGACCTGACCTCTTTCATCCTGACATTGTTTTAATATTATGGGCTGTATGTACTTCCCTCTTGTTACTCTATACAGTACATTTACTTGCATTCAGGCCATACTTTGTGGTTTGTAGCTGTCGGTTATCACTTTGTTTACCAGGAGCAGAAATTACATCCTCCACATGCAACTCTCAGTGAGCCAGAGGGGGATCCACACCAGCTCTTACAGGCCTGGGGCAGCTCTACCCTTTTTTTATTAAGCATTCCTGTTCACATTAAGCATGTGTTTATAATCATCTAAATGTATAATTTAAACAGTAACATCACTTACAATTTCATCTTCTCCATGTTTCCTCAGATCCAGACCATGGTGGAGAGCCTGAAGTTGTCCATTACTGATCAGCAGCTGCCCATGTTTATCCGCATTTTAGAGCTGATTATTGCCCTCTACTACGGGGAGCTCGGAGGACACAAAGAGGGCGAGGGGGAAGAGGGCAGTGTTCATGTCAGGGAGGCTGGAGCAATTTTACCTGGTGAGTTTATTTATTTATTGTTATCTGAAATAATCTGGAATGTTTTCAAAAGTTGTGAGCCAAGTTTTTTTTTTTTTTTTGTTTGTTTTTTTAAATTTGCCACTTGATGACTAGCAGATGACGATGAAGTCCATTACATTAGGTCAATTCATTTCTGCTCTTTATTTCACCTACAAGATGGTAGTTTTATGCCTGAGGGCCCCCCTTTCTGCTGTGCTGCTGTGCTGTAAATTTATGAACCAAGCAAACGACCTACACAGCAAAGCAAAATAGTCACATTATTTGGGCTCTTTCAAAATGCATTTCTAAATGATATATTGAGGTCTCAAAGGGACGTAGCGAGTGTGTCAGTGTAGTTCCCGTAGCAGTCATATTTCGCAGACAAAATGTGGTTGAAAGCTCTGAAGTGGTTAATGAGCCATTCGACCGTGCACAAAGCTTTGAAGCTTTTCCTCTGACAGCGTTTTCATCTGCACGTTGCCTCGTTCTCTTCAGAGGGCTATGTCTGACCAATGCGCTGCTGCTGTTCCTAAACGGGACATTTAACATCACTTTGACCGTGCTGTTGCGCTCCTCCTGCTTTTTCCACAAACAAAAGCTGGAGCGTGTAACTCAACACAGACCGTTGTCGTCAGGCCTGATCCCCTCCATGTGGATGGAGGCAGGCAAGAGGAGGATGACGGGAAGACACGGGGACGAATCAAACACAGGCCCATCTCTGGTTCTCTGATGGGAGCACCGTTAGAAATCACACCCCCCACATCCAGGAGCTGAGCAAAACACATGCATGCAGCCGGTTTCTGGCGCACCACATACAGACCCACACAATATCACACATAGACTATATACTTACCTCAGTCCAGAAATGCCCATCTC